CCCAGGCTGCCTCTGTCTGCTTTGTCCTGCCACCTAGCCTCCCGGTATGCCCCAGTCTGACCCTTGGCCCCCAGCTCCATGACCTCCTCACCCCTTCCATGTTATCTCAGCCCCTCTGACTCCTCAGCCTCATCCTTTCTGCCTTCATAACTTCATTGCACCACAACCACCGTCAGCTCTGGAGTCTGGGACCCTGTGGAGCTTCCACAGAACTTGGTCCCACAGTGCCCTGTTTGTGGGTTCCCATAGGTTCCAGGCCCTTTGGTCTCCTTGTCCCCTGCCTTTTCTCCCAACCCATTCCCCACATAGTTCCCTTCTGTTTGGGAGCTGAATCAGTCTCCTGCATCAGGCATGACCCTAGGGTTGGGGGAGGGGACTGCAAACCCTCCACAGTAGGGGGTGCTGAGCTTGGGGTGGGCGGCCAGGCAGAGAGTGTGCAGGCCATGGAAACGGACTGGTTGTGGGCTTGGAGTGGGAGCTGAGTGCGTAAGGGGCGGGCTGGAATGTGGGTCTGGCCAGGGTGGCAGCTGCTGGCCTGTGGAACTTGTCAGGCCCTTTCTGGCCACCTTCTTTGCCCCTTTCCCTGCTGTGGCCCGAAACAGGGCAGCCCTTATCCATTTCTCAGCTCAGCTTATCATTCCCTGTCTTCTTCCCTGAGGTGCTGGACCTGGGATTTCCTGTCTATCCTCGGTTGTGTTGCTCTCCTCTGTGGGTGTTTTGTGTGACTGGGTCTTGCTCATTCTGTGCACATTCTTACATTTGCTCACATGCTTCTATCTTTAGGTCATATTTTCTCCCTCTTTGCCTGGTCAAAGCTTCTTTTGTGCACTCAGTACTCTAAAGATTTTCAGTTCCCTGTCCATTAACTCTGATGTTCTTTCTCATGGGTATTCCACCCAGTTCTGTGAACGTGCTCTTGGATCCTGTCTTGTCTTCTCTGCATCTCTTGCCCATTGAAACCTTCCTGATCTCTCTCAACACGATCCCATCTCTCCATGTCTGTCTGTGTACAGCTCCCCCCACCCCCTCTGTCTAACATGTTTTCTGTTTCTCTCCCTCTCCCTGTCTCTGCTTCTGTCTCCTCTCCTCTCTCTCTTCTCCCCCTTTCCCCTGGTGGTTCCTCCTCCTCCTTCTCCTCTTCCTTCTCCTCCTTCTGCTCCTCCTCCTCTCCCCTGCCCCCATCTCCCCTTGATCCATCCACTGCATAGTCTAAGGAGCTGCAGATCAAGAAGCAGTTCCAGGAGACGTGTAAGATCCAGACTCGGCAGTACAAGGCTCTGCGGGCACACTTGCTGGAGACCACGCCCAAGGCTCAGCACAAGAGCCTCCTTAAGCGGCTCAAGGAAGAACAGACCCGCAAGCTGGCGATCTTGGCTGAGCAGTATGACCAGTCCATCTCAGAGATGCTCAGCTCACAGGCGGTGAGGCCTGGGGTCCAGGGAGGGAGCGCAGTGGAGGTTGGCCTCTGTATTTCCAGCTTAGCCATGGGCAGTGGGAGGTGAAGGTTGTCGACAGAACTAGAGCTTTTTGTACTTGGGAAACTCTGATACTCCCTCACTGTTAGTATTCTTCCCAGTGGTTTTATTATTTTGAATTCTCTGCAACGGTTTTATTACTTCTCTTAGTATTTTCTTAAGGTCTAGAGAAAGCCATCCTGCCTACTCTACTAAAAGCCACCAAGGAAAAGAGTGGCTATTATTTTTTCCTGGGCCTTAGTTTAATGTGTGAACAGGGAGCAAATTAAAATGAGTGTGGCCCTCAGGCCAATTTACTTTGACTTCTGAAGAATTATTGAAGGTTGTTGTTCTAAAAAGTTGGCCAGGCATGGTGGCTCACGCCTGTAATCCTAGCACTTTAGGAGGCCAAGGCAAGAGGACTGCTTTGAGCCCAGGAGTTCGAGACCAGCCTGGGCAGCATAGTGAGACCCCATCTCTACAAAAAATAGAAAAATTAGCTAGGCATGGTGACGTGTGCCTATAGTCCCAGGTACTCCAGAGCCTGAGGCAGGAGGATCTCTTGAACCCAGGAGTTTGAGGTTGCAGTGAGCTATGATGATGCCACTGCACTCTAGCCCGTGTGACAAAGCAAGAACCTATCTCAAAAAATTAAAAAAAAAAAAAAATCACACATAATACTAGAAGTGAGCCACTTAAAATGTACATAGGATAGAGTCAGAGTGCCCCATTGGTGATCATTCTGTCACTTAGTCCCACCTCTCAGAGGTAACTTGTTAATAATTAACTGTATTTTAGATTTTTTCCAATGCATATTTTAAAAGTATATAAAAATTTTAAACACAAATAAAATCATACTTTACATACTATTCTCTAACTTCTTTTTTCCACGTAATATTTCTTAGACATCTTTCCATATCAGTACACATATCTCATTTTTTTTTACAGCATAGAATTTTCCATGGTATGGCTGTACCATAATTTATTTAACCCATCCCTTATTGGTGGACATTTAGGTTGTTTCCAGTATTTTGCTATCACAACGCTTCCGTGAGCACCTCGAGCACATGTGCAAGTATACCTGGGGGATAGATTCCTGCAGTGTAATTGCTGTGCCACAGGGTATGACCATCTTCCATTCTGGTAGACGTTGAGACTGCTGCTGCTTGAAACCTTAGGGCCCAGGCCTACCTGGGGCTGGGGAGGATTGTGGGGATCAGGGAGGAGATTCCCTAAAACCTGTCCTTCCTGTCCTCCAGCTGCGGCTTGATGAGACCCAGGAGGCAGAGTTCCAGGCCCTTCGACAGCAGCTTCAACAGGAGCTGGAGCTGCTTAACGCTTACCAGAGCAAGATCAAGATCCGCACAGAGAGTCAGCACGAGCGGGAGCTACGGGAGCTGGAGCAGAGAGTAGCTCTGAGGCGGGCACTGCTGGAGCAGCGGGTAAGGGGTTCAGCCTCCAGGACTGGGTGGGGAGGGCAGGCTGCCTGCCCCAGACACTCTGACCTCTGTTCTGGGTGCTCCAGGTGGAAGAAGAGTTGCTGGCCCTGCAGACCGGGCGCTCTGAGCGAATCCGGAGTCTGCTCGAGCGGCAGGCCCGTGAGATCGAGGCCTTCGATGCCGAAAGCATGAGGCTGGGCTTCTCCAGCATGGCTCTGGGGGGCATCCCAGCTGAGGCTGCTGCCCAGGGCTATCCCGCTCCACCGCCTGCCCCTGCCTGGCCCTCCCGTCCTGTTCCTCGTTCAGGGGCACACTGGAGCCACGGCCCTCCTCCACCAGGCATGCCCCCCCCAGCCTGGCGTCAGCCATCTCTGCTGGCACCCCCAGGTCCCCCAAACTGGCTGGGGCCCCAAACACAGAGTGGAACACCCCGCGGTGGAGCCCTGCTGCTGCTAAGAAACAGCCCCCAGCCCCTGCGGCGGGCAGCCTCAGGGGGCAGCGGCAGTGAGAATGTGGGCCCACCTGCTGCCGCCATGCCAGGGCCTCTGAGCCGCAGCACCAGTGTCGCTTCCCACATCCTCAATGGTTCTTCCCACTTCTATTCCTGAAGTGCAGGGTAGATGAGCGATGAGTGGGGCAGGGGTGGGTGGAGCCTACTGTCCTGGAGGCAGTAAGCTTGAGGCCCACCAAAGGGTAGGGGACAGGATATTGGCTCCAGCTCCCCTCGGACCTCCTCATCTCATGAGCTTCATGGGGCTGGCCAGTGGCCTAGGGCCAGCTTGGGCATAGGTGCCTCAAGACTGACCAGGAGCCCTGCCTCCCCACCATGGTGCCAGGGTCTCCCTCCATCACCGCCTGGGAAAAGAGGGAGATGTGCGTGTCAAATATTCATCTAGTCCCCTGGGGGAGGGGAAGGGTGGGTCTAGATATATTATATTCAGAAAATTATACTACCCTCACAATGGGGCCATGGACTGGAGACAACAGGGCCCCCAGACCTGGGGACGTGGCAGAGCAGGTCTGGGGCCTGAGGCGGGACAATGGGAGAAGGCCTTCCTACGAAAGTAGGATCAGGATGGGGTCTTGGGGTCAAGATGCCTGGGTCTCTCCATTCCCCCGTTGCTGTCTGATGTCCTGTGCCGTCTTGTCCTTTATCTTTTTTTTTTAAATTGGGATCAGGGCTGGGGCAGGGGAACAAGGGAAGGACCTTGAAAGGGGCTGCTCCTGGGTCTGGGGGCAGTCATGAGTGCCCCTCTCAGCTGTGGGGCTGGCACAGAGCTCCAGGGCAAGCTTTTAATAAACTGTTGGTTATTCTAACAGACTCCAGGACTCAACCTTTCTGTCTGTGTGTATGAAGGAATGTTCAGTGGCAAACGATAGCATTCCTTGTATTTAAAAAGAGAATTTATTGGGATATGTAACTGAAAATTTCAGTGCTTTTAATGACATCAGGTGTGACTGGGTCCAGGGCCTCAACGGAGGTCATCAACCTAACCTCATTTCCTGTGCTTTCCTTTGCTCTGGCTTCGAAGATTCTTAGAAGGTTCACTTCACACACAGACCCCTGGCAACTCGAAGCTTACACCTTACTAGCAACCTTCAAAGGCAAGAGTTCCAGCAGAGACCTGTAGTGACTTCATTGGCTGGATCTCTAGCCAGGGGCCTGGAGTGCTCTGATTGGTCGGTTGAGTCTAGGTCCTGTACCCACCTCTTTATGGCTGAAAGAGTCAGCCCCTGGGCTAAGTGGCTGTTTCCAGAAAAAGGGGGAAGGAAGACATAAACACCAGCTGTCCTGAATCATTTTGTGCTTCACATTCTTAAGGCCAGTTATTCAGATCCTCCTCCCAACTGGGCTTTAGGTTATCAGACCCAGTTAAAAGAAGCAGGGTTATCAGAGGGGCCCACTGGTTAAGTTAGGTCGGAAGGTTAGAAGGGAAGGGGCCACACACTTCTCTGATAGGGCCTGATGGCAGACTTTGGATGGCGGGGTCTGGAGGCTGGAACTTCTTTGGGGAACCTGGGAGAAATTAAAAACCAGACCTGGGGAATGGCAGTGGCTACTCCAGCTTCCTGGCCCAAAGTACACGAAGTGGGAGTGGGGAACCAGTTTTGATGAAGTGATTACAAACATTCCTTTATTAAGTCTTAAAAAATAAACCCCTGTAAACACCTTAAATGGAGAACATGAAGCTGAGATGTGTCCCAACAACTTGTGTCCTTGGGGGCTGTAGTCTTCTCTGAAGAAAGCTGCTCCTGCTCTGTGCAGGCACAAAGCAAGGGGTATTACATATGCTTTGTACACGTGGAAAGGGTCCGTATCCTGGGAGGTGGGGAAGTTCAGTTACTCTCGCCATCACTGCTGATGATGCCACGCATATGTGACCAGTCTGGGGGTGCGGGACGGGGCCGTTCTTCCTCTGAGTCTAGGGTCCGGCGGTATAGCTCCCCTGGGGGAGCTGCTTCTCCTAAAGGGTTCCAGGCTGTGCGTCTGCGTGGCCGGCCTGGGAGGAAGAGGAAATGGGAGATTAGTAATGGGAGATTAGTTGTTTGAGAAAGTCCAACCCTACCCATCTTTTCCTGGGCAGTGAGAGGAAACCCCTTACCCGAACCACTGATGATATTAGCAACATCCAAGGAGGCCACCTCAGCCGCCTCCTCCCGCTGCTCCTTCAGGGCCCGACACTTCTCTAAGGAAGGGTTACCTGGGGCAGAAGAAGCTCGTGATCCTCCCCTCCCCAGCAGCAAGGCCCTCTCCTGCAGCCCCCACGGCACACCAGGCCTCACCCTTCATGCCCAGGGCTTCCAGTTCTGCTCGGAGGACACTCAGGCGCTCCTTGTGTGACCGACAGGAGCCCAGTAGCTTCTTGTAGTTTCGATGGGCACCACAGGCCCGAATATAGCGCTTTAGCCTCATCACAGCTGGGTGGTCCTCTCCACGGCGACCAGAGCCAGCCTACAAGGAAAGCCAGCTGAAGGCCAAGACTGCTAGGCTTGAGTCAGGGTCTCCTTCCTCCCTAACAGTGGCCTCCCACCCCACCTTAACCCTTACCTTCCCTCCTTTTGGCTCTGGGCTTCCATCTGAGGAGGAAGAGGAGCTGCGTGTCCTGCCTTTCTTGGAGCTCTTCTTGGAAGAGCGGTTCTTCCTTTCCCCCTTGGGGCTCCCCGTTGCCTCACTGTCACTCACCTCCCTCTCCAAGTCACTCTCCTCACCACTGACACTGCTCAGTTTGGCTCTCTTTCCAGTGCCTTTAGCTATTGCTTTCACCTTCCAGCTGTCTTCCTCAGCCTCGCTGCTCCCACTCTGCCTTTCCCCACCCTCACACAAGGTCCCATCCTTGCTCTTCCTCTGCACTGGGGGCTCTTCCCCTTCCCTACTGCTATCCCCACTGCCTGCGGCCTCTTTTTCCTTCTCTTCCCCACTGTCCCCTGCGTCTCCCATTAGTCTCCTCATCCTGCTTTTCTGCTTACAGATCCTCTCCTCCCAAGCTGACCTTTTCCCTCCATTGCTCCTGACTCTGGGTTTCCAATCTTCCTCCTCCTCCTCCTCCTCTTCCTCCTCTTCTTCCTCCCTGAGTTCTTTGTTCTTGGCTAGGATCTCCTCCTTCTCCTCCTTTCTCTCCTGTTCACTTTCCTGGTAGCTTTTAGCTCCTTTATTTCCCTGTACCTTCTGTGCTGTCATCTGGGCAGATTTTTCCTCATTGTCCTCACTTTCTTCCCTGGCCTGCTTCCTGCTAACTGAGGCCTTGCCTGATGCCTGCTTGTTCTTTGTCACAGGTCTGTTCCTAGCCCTGCCCTTGTACTTCTTTTTCTCTTCATCTTCCTCTTCACTGCTCTCTTCCTCCCAGACCTTACTTGTTCTGATAGAACAATCCTCCTCCTCCTCCTCCTCCTTACTGCTCTCCTCTAATTCTATCTTTGCAGTCAGGTCCTTCTGCTGTTCTTCTTCATCACTGCTTTCTTTGTTCCCTTCAACTGCTTTCTTTGAGGCCTGCCTTGGACTCTCTTCCTCCTTGGCTGGGCTGACTTCTGCTGCTGCCCTCCTGTTCTTTGCTAGGGGTCCAAAGTATTCTGGGCTGGAGGCTGCAGAGCTGGGCTCTGGAATATGGAGAGAAAAGAGAGTTGGGACAGGTTCCTTCTGTCCCTTCTCCCACCACTTAGGATAGGTTGCCTCTACCCATGGCCTGACCGTTAGATAGAGGAAGGGCAGCAGGTAACACAGGTATCCTGTGTTTCCACCCTGTTCCTGGTTCCTGACTCACCAGTCTCACCCCCTCACTACCAGCTTTGGATATAAAATATGCACAATAAATACTTTTTGAGTGAACCAATAATGTAAAAGTCACCCATAGCAGGAAGGAGGCACTAACCTGACTCTGAATTGAGGTGGAACCTTTTTCTCTCTGATTCACTGCAGGGGGAGGGAGGCCTCTTCACCTTCTTGGTAAGGTCTAGTTTCTCTTCCCTCGTACCAGCTTCATCCACCTGTGTGTGCATCCAGAGGGCACAGGTACCAAGGCTGCATTGTGCCCCACCCCCTCTCAGGCTCCTCCTCCTCGGCAACAAACCCCGCCTCCCGTGGCCCAGGCTCGTGCCCACACCTGCATCTTCAGCAGCTCCTCCTCCACTAGCCGCTTCAGCGCCTGCTTTTCCTCGGGTTCCAGGTGATCGCGGCCCGCGTGAGCCAAGAACGTCCGCCGCACGATGGAATGCGTGAGCGTGCTGCGGCGACATGGTGTCAAGACGGAGTCCCCGTCCCACCCCGTCCCTTTCCAACCCCAACTCCAACCCCCTATGCACCTGAGGTCTGGGCGGCCTCGGAAGAAGCTACGGGTGAACTCCTGCATCTCCTTCTCCCGCGCCATTTTGCTCCACCCGGAATTGGCGGCTCCCGCCTTTTTTTCTTGTCGGCCTCAGCGCGTTTGACAGCGGCTTCCGCAAGCGCAGTGCTGTGACGCCTTAAGGCTAGGGGCCGTTGAATCTCGGTCGCGGACTGCTTGGGCCGAGACCTTTGACAGACCAAACTTGTTTTCCCTAGGTAGTTGGGGGTCTCGCGACTCCCACCTTTTCTTAGAACGAACCGTTAAAGTTCTTATTAGAAACCGATTCAGCGTTTGCAATCTGTGGGTGTAACGTAATCAACCCGCGACGCAGCCTTCTTCCCTGTTACGGGGACCGTCTAGGCCGCTGTTATTTCGAAACGCATAAGAAAAAGAACATCCTCGCCAGGAGACTGGGAACATCTGGATGCAATGTTCCTGTGGCTTCAAATCTCTAAGCACATTTGGAATCAAAAACGGCATTCCCCTGCGTCCGCCATCTTTGTGACGTCACCGCGTCGCGGCCACGCCAGCTCTGGCGTAACCACTCGAAGCCACGTTCCTTTCCCGGTATTCCCCAGGAGGACGGTCCGGGCGGTTTCGCTGCCTGGTCGCGGGGCACGCCGGGAGTTGTAGTCCTGGCCGGCACAGCTTTGCAAAGTCTCCGGAAGTGGAGGCGTGAAAGGCCGGGCTGAGCCGGCTCGGGGTAGCGGGACTCCAGACACTGGGGCGCCTCTCGGGGGCCGGTCATGAACGGGCCGGCGGACGGCGAAGTGGACTACAAAAAGAAATACCGGAATCTGAAGCGAAAGCTCAAGTTCCTGATCTACGTGAGTGCTGGTGGTGTGGGAAGGTTGTGGGGCATGAGGCCTGGCGCTGATAGGACCTCAGTTTACCCATGTGTAAACGGGGTGGGGCGAATTGGCCTGAGTTTCGGAGCCCTTTTCGGATGGCCGTTGGCGCAGCGCCTACCTTGCCCTTGATACAGGAACACGAGTGCTTCCAGGAGGAACTGAGGAAGGCGCAGAGAAAATTGCTGAAGGTGTCCCGGGACAAGAGGTGAGGCACGTTGCGGGGGGGCGGGGGCGGGGGGGGCACGGGGCGATGCGGCTCCTGGGGATCTGCCTTCGGGCCCCATCCTGGAATGGGGCCACAAATGCATGGGCTCCTTTCGAGGATCCAGTGAGCTATCCAGAAGGGACAGGGACCCAGGAGAACATTGCTGAGATGGGAACAAACACTCTCGTTCTCCTCACCTCTTCCCTCAGTTTCCTCCTAGACCGACTTCTGCAGTACGAGAACGTGGATGAAGACTCTTCTGGTGAGCAAGGTCATGAAATTTTGGTGGAGGACATGGCTCCTGGCACTTCAGCAAGCTTCCTGGACCTCTCCTTGTAGGCTGTACAAGCTGATGCAGCCTGTAATGGTTCTTAAACCTAGTTGATTGCCTTCCATTCTTCCATTCAAGTATTTATTGAGCAGCTACTGTATTTCAGGCCCTGTGCTTGGCACAGGGGATACAGGAGTAGCACAGGTGGATGAAGCCCTTGGCCTCTTGTAATTTATATTCTAGTTGGGGAGAATAGGTAAATGAAGAAATAAACCAGAATTTTAGGTAGCTGTAAGGACTTGAAGGGAATGAGAACAGGGGTGTGTGGTAGTGATAGGAGTGGAAGAGGAGTTGACAAACTTTGTCTTCAAAGGGCCAGATAATATTTTAGAGTTTGTGAAACATGTAGTTTTTGAAGCAACTACTCAGCTCTGCTGTTGTAGTGTGAAAGCAGCCATAGCTGATATGTAAATAAATGAGTATGGCAGTGTTTGATAAAATTTTATTTGCAGATACTGAAATTTGAACTTCGTATTATTGTCACGTGAAATATTATGTTTGTAATTTATTTCAACCACTTAAAAACGTAAAAGCCATTCTTAGCTTGCAGACCACACAAAAGCAGGCAACAAGCAATGTCTGAATAGAGAACTTAGGAAAGACCTTTTGAGGGAGTAATGTTTGAGGCTGGGACCTAGATAAGAAGAAAGGAACCTTGTGAAGGTGTGAGCTAGAACTTCCCAGGCAGAATAATAAATGCAGATGCCCCGAGGTAAGAACAGGCCAGGCTTGAAGAGCAGAGGGATTAAGCATATAGAGCTCGGTTTTTCAAACTTTTCTCTGAGTATTTTTCACAATTAATTGTATAGTTTACATCATGATCAGGTTCCCACATGTGTGTACCTATATATATACACATATACACGCACTTATAAAACAGTATTTAATGAAACATTTTTAAATGAGTTACTGTATCCAATTCATCTTGATACTTTTTAGACTGCTTTTTTCCACTCTTTTTAATGCTGGTTGCAAACCAATAAATTGATTTCATGACCCACTAATGGATTGAAACCCACAGTTTGAAAAGCCCTAAGGTGGGCATTTGTGGGCCTGTTGCTGGTTGGAGCCCTCGTAAGCAGCGTCACATAGGGTCACCTCTCCACAGTATCTTTAAACATTGGTTTAGGGCAAGGATCGGCAAACAGCAGCCAGGCATGTTTTTTTTTTTTTTTTTGAGACAGAGTCTCACTGTGTTGCCCGGGCTAGAGTGCCGTGACGTCATCCTAGCTCACAGCAACCTCAAACTCCTGGGCTTAAGCAATCCTTCTGCCTCAGCCTCCCGAGTAGCTGGGACTACAGGCATGCGCCACCATGCCTGGCTAATTTTTTCTATATATTTTTAGTTGTTCGATTAATTTCTTTCTATTTTTAGTAGAGACGGGGTCTCGCTCTTGCTCAAGCTGGTTTCGAACTCCTGAGCTCAAACAATCCACTCGCCGCAGCCTCCCAGAGTGCTAGGATTACAGGCATGAGCCACCATGCCCGGCCCAGGCATGTTTTTGTAAACAATATTTTGCTGGAACACACAGCACTCATGCATTTCTTATGATAGAAGGATGACAGACAAAGGGAAGTAGGCAGGGGCAATGTGGGTTGTGGCAGAAATATTTGGCTTTTATTCCAGCCTCTCATTTCCTGCCTTACTCTTCCCTAAGGTCTTTCAGCTGACTTCCTATTTGAGGGAAACTTCAAGACAAGAGACATGAGAGAGCCCAGCATGATATGTCTCAGCACAGTGTGAGGACGGCAGTGTCAAGTGAGAGTAGAGGGTTCTAGGAGAGCCCGCAATTAACCAGACCTGAGGGTTTCTGGAAGACTTCTCAAAGGAGGTGGCGTTTAATCTGCTTCTTAAAGGATCTGTCTAAGCAGAGAAATTGGGATCGACTTACGTAACGTGTAGCAGTTGTTTATTAAACGAAAGATGGGCCTTCTAGGCGGCAGTGCGCTGAACTAGGAAATAAATTTCTTTTTTGAGGAAATAGGTTGGTGTGATTTGGAGAGTACAGTCTTTTGGGAAGACCAGAAAGGTAGATTGAGGTCAGATTAGGAAACACTACAAATTTATGCAGGCAGAAGGGATGTGATCGGGAAAGATGTGGCAGTTTTATGTTTTAGGTCGTTGTGGGGTTGGAGTGGACAATGAGTGGCAGGCAGCGGGTGAGAATGCTTAGCAGGTGATTTTGACATAGAGGTGGCATGACCTTGTGGCTGTGGCAATGGAGAGCAGTGGATGAAAGTGAGAGAGATTTGAGGGGTAGATTAACAGGACCTCCTGGCTATGGGGAGTGGAGCAGAGGCAGGAGCTAAGGCAAGTAAGGAGAGAGTGGCATAAAATGGCCAAGGAGACCTGAGTTCAGTCTCAGCCCCACATCTTACTTTCTGAGCCTCAGTGACCTCATGTGGCAAGTGGAAGGGATACCCTTACCTTCCTCTTTAGATGGTTATGAAGACAGGGAGGGGTGGGGAATGCGAAGGAGGCTGTCACGTTGTACCGTAGGAGGTGCTTGGCAAGTGTGTTATGGAAGGGCCAGAGCAGGAAATGGGCTGGGGAAGCTGGGGAAGCTGTGGGCCACCCCAGAACAGAACATGTGCATGTGCCATTGGGAAGTCAGATTCCTTGGAGACCCCCCGCTTCCCCCACTTTTTTTTTTTTTTACCAGAGACAGGGTCTCGCTCTGTCACCCAGGCTGGAGTACAGTGGCATCATCATAGCTCACTGCAGCCTCCAACTCTTAGGCTCAGGTGATCCTCTCACCTCACCTTCCTGAGCAGCTAGGACTACAGGCACATGCCACCACACCTGGCTAATTTTTAAATTTTTTATAGATGGGGGTCTTGCTATGTTGCCCAGGCTAGTTTGGAACTTGGGCTCAAACGATTCTCCCACCTTGGCATCCCAAAGTGCTGGGATTACAGACATGAGCCACCATGGCCAGCTCCCCAGAGCCCTTCTGTAGTGTCGAGGTTATACTCCTCTGAGATATAACCACCAACTCCCACTGACCAGCCCTCCCTCCTGACAGATTCAGATGCCACTGCATCTTCAGATAACAGCGAGACAGAGGGGACACCCAAGTTGTTGGACACACCAGCCCCCAAGAGGTGAGAAGACAGCATTCGTCTCTGGGGGAGGGGAAAGGATGGGGCACCTGGGCCTCCAAGCTGCCTCTGACACCCTCCCCTGTCCTTTCTCCAGGAAGAGAAGCCCTCCACTGGGGAGTGCCCCCTCTCCCTCCAGCCTCTCCCTGCCTCCTTCAACAGGGTTTCCCTTGCAGGCCTCCGGGGCCCCATCCCCATACCTGAGCTCGGTGAGTTGGGGCCAAGGGTGGGAAGTGGTGAATTGAGATGCCTGGGAATAAGGTGGGCATCATTTGGGCCAAAGGGCTAGGCCTCAGGGTGAGGCCAGCCTGATTCTGGGGACAACTGTCTGGGTGTGGCCAGCAAGTGTCCCTTGGAGGGTGTAAGTCGGGAGTGCCCACTTCTGTGTTGTAGGAATGGGGAACAGACATAGCTAAGGAGAGCAGACCCCAGGACACAGTCCTGCTGTCCCCTACCCTTCTGTTCTCGGGAGCCCTGGGAGCCACACTCATCACCATCTCTTTTGTTTTTCCATTCTTCCTTCTGTTTGCATTTCTTCCCTTCTCCTCACCTTGATCCATTCCATCTCCCATCTCCACCCCAACTCCCGCCTGCAGCTGGCTTCCCCCCTCTACCCCCCATTCCCTTCTGACTACCTGGCCCTGCAGCTGCCCGAGCCCAGCCCCCTGAGGCCCAAGCGGGAGAAACGGCCCCGCCTGCCCCGGAAACTCAAGGTACCCTGATTTGGGGACGTTAGGGAGGGGCCAGAACGGCAGGAGGACAGCCACGTGAGGGAGGCTTAAGACAGACTGGGGGCCTGTCCAAGAACTTTGAACCATTGATTTGGGACTGCTGGGGACCCAGCCCGGAGCTAGGCACTGAGGGATGGATCAGAGAAGTCCTGGTTCACAGGCCATTCTGGGGGACTCGGAATGAGGCTCCTTTTCACAGGGGTGAGTGTTCAGTGATGCCAGACAGCCTCAGAGTAGGCATAGAATTGTAGAATCCAGAATCAAGTCAAGACTGCCCCAAGTTAAAAACCGTGTGACCTTGAACAGGTCTCTTTGACCCTCTAGGTCTGGATTGGGCACCTGTAAAGTGAGCAAGCTAGATGGGATCCACGAGTGTTTGTGGCGCACCTACTCTGTACCAGGCATTGTTCTAGGTGCTAGAGATACAGTAGTGAACAAAACGGACAAAAATCCCTGCCCTCACGGGGCTGACCTTCTAGCAAGCTAGGCAGAAAATAAACAAGATAAACAGGCAACAGTGGCGCAGAATGGAGTCAGGTAAAGGGGACAGGGAGCTCGGGGGTGTGGGTGATGTTTACGGTCAACAGTCTGGGGTGTTATTTGATCAGAGACTTAAAGGAAATGAGAGTAGCCATGTGGCAGTCCGGGAAAGGGTTTCAGGAGGGGCCTGCTCGGCTTGTGCAGGAATCTGAAAGGAGGCCTGTGTTGGGAGGAGGGTGAGGGGAGAGTGGGCAGGGGGCCCTGCGGAGTCCAAAGAACCAAGGGGCAGGATGGTGGCGGGCCTCAGAGGTATCGGAAAGCCTCGGGCTTGTGCTGTGGATGAAATGGGCCATTGGAGGTGGTTGAGCAGAGGGGGAGTCTGATCTAATTTACATTTTAACAAAATTGCCGGTGCTGCGGTGTATAGATTAAACCGGGTGCAGGGGTCGGGGCGAGTCAGGAAGGAAGGAGGAGGCTACCACCCTGCGTGAGAAGCTGCGCAAAGGGGGAAAAGTGGCCCAAGGACCCATTTCAAAGAACAAGCTGCAGGAACGCCTGAAAGCCCAAGTGTGGGCTGTGTGAGAGAGGAGGCAAGGACAGCTCCAGGGTTTTTAGCCTGAGCCACTGAAGAAGTGGAGTTGCCTTTTTTCTGAGGTGGATAGAGCTGTGGGAGGAGCAGGTTTTGGAGGGAAGATGAGGTGTTTGGTTATGGACATGCTGAGATGCCATCTGGAAATGCCTGTGGCAACTGGGTACATGAGCCTGGAGTTCACAGGGACGATGTTGGGAAGTAGGCAGCATGGAGGTAGATGCATGCGTCAGGATGGGTGAGAGTGTAGGTGGAGAAGGGGGGCACTGCTCCTGAGCCCCCCGGGGTGGTGAAGAGGGCCATCCGAGGATTCAGACCAGCACAGTGCCCTTCTGCCTCTGCATCAAAGTTGAATAGGGAGCCAGGCAAGGTGGCTCACGCCTGTGATCCCAGCACTCTGGGAAGCCAAGGCGGGAGGATCGCTTGAGGCCAGGAGTTCGAGACCAGTCTGAGCAAGAGCAAGACTTCATCTCTACAAAAAATAGAATAAATTAGCTGGGTGCAGTGGTACACACCTATAATCCCAGCTACTTGGGAGGCTGAGGCAGTAGGATCGCTGGAGCCCAGGAGTTTGAGGTTGCTGTGAGCTAGGATGATACCACAGCACTCTAGCTGGGGAAACAGAGCAAGACCGTGTCTCAACAACAACAAAAAAGTTGAACAGGTGAATAGGGACCAGACTGGACAGCTTTCAAGGCCCTGGAGACAGAAGCAAGATGGGAGGCTGTGTGTGGGGTGTTTAGGAGTATGGGTTCTGGAGTTCAAATCCCAGCTCTTCCATTTACTCCTTGTTACTTAAGCTCTGGAGCCTGAAACAAGCCTTGAGCTTGTTCTTTGGAGCCTGAAAAATGGGGGTGATGATGCTGGCTCCTGCTCTTCTTAGCAGGGTTTTGCTTTTGGCCTGGAGGGTAGAGTGGTGGAGAAGGCAGGGGTGCACGCAGCCGGTGCAAGCGGTGGGGGCGTGGCACTGTGTCAGCAGGGGCCTGTTGGGACTTTCTGGCTGGCGCTGGGCCCTGCAGTGGAAGGGAACTAAGTTCTGGATGTACAGGGGAGAAGTGTGGGCTGGGAGGGGGCCCCAGTTAGTGACTGTGCAATGTCGGGTGGGGGACAGGATAAATCAGGGAAGATTTCAAAGAAGAGAACATTTGGGCCCCGGGGAGTGAGATTTGGATATTCCAGGCTGAGGCCATCATGGGAAGGGAGACAGGGACACAGGGAAAGTATTGTTCGGGCTGGAGCTGGAGCGCTCAGGGAGAACAACATTGGGATGAGAATTAGGGTGGGGTGGGGTTACAGAGGCCTGCACTCCCAGAATCAGGAGTCTGCCTGCCACCAAGGAGGGAGTGGGAGTCCCTGAAGTTATGGGGAACTTGGTGTGATGGGAGGTGGCAAGTCTGAACAGAGCTGGGGCAGCTGTGAGGACTGAAGAGGTCGCTTAAGGCTTGGGCCTGAGTCAGACTTGGAGTTGGAATCCCAGCTCTTCCACCTACTCGCTGTGACCTTGGGCATGTCATTTAACTCTTTGAGCCTCAGCTTTCTTGTCTGTTCAGTGGGGTCACTGTGAGGAGAACATGAGTTAAGGGGTGGAAAACACTGAGCCCGGAGCCTGGCCCCAGTGAGCCCCAGGTAAACATTAGCTGCCGTGGATCATGCCGAGGGGGCTGCTGAGTAAACCTAGGCAAGGGCAGGACATGGGCATAGGGTCAGGATGGAGAGGTGGAGCCAGAGGAGGGGACGGTCCTCAGGCAGCTGTCCTTTTTGGCTGTGCATGTTCATCTGCTCCTGTGTGTAGACATGGGTGCCTGGGACTGGGTGCAGGGGTGCTGTTCAGAGTTGGGCCCCGTGATGGTCACCAGTCCTGCTAGGGCCCTGCACCTGAGGCCTGACTCGTGCTGGCTCCCCACGCCACCCCAGGGCCAGACTGGATGCTGCCCAGTGGGACCCCCATGGGCCTGCTCCTTCAGGCCTCTGTTTCCAAATCTCAGTGTCCTCTGGCATTTGACCTCTCCTCCCCCCCGTTGTGCCCTAAAGGTTGAAAATCATTAACGGAAATCACCTGGCACATAGTAGATGCTCGGCTTGTACCCACAGGCAAAGCATGGGGGCTGTCGCAGCCCAGAGCTCTCCATGGGGAGGATTTGGCAGGGTGGGGCTGGAGGGTTGGGCAGAAGAGAGGCCACTTCCCGGTCTCAGAGGACAAAGCAGAACTTTTTCCAACTAGAGAAGGATGCCCCACGTGGAGGGGCCAGCCTGTTGGCAGGCATGTTGCACTGCCTGTCCTGAGGGCAGCGAGGAGCCTGAGGGCCCTGGAGTGGAAGAATGACATGCTCAGGTTTGTGTTGTAGAGAGATCACTCTGGCTGCAGTGTGGAGGAGGAGCTGGATCGGGGAGAGGCTGAAGGCAGGGAGTCCAGTTAGGAGGCTGGTCCCATAGCACAGGTGAGCCGAGAGGAGGGCCTGGTCTAGGCCAATGGCTGCGGGGATCCCAAGGTGGGGCCCCGACCAACATACAACAGAAGTTCCTGGGGGGCGAAGAAGCTGCCCAGGCTCCTGGCTGGGGCGGCCTGCGATACCCTCCACCGAACCAGTGAGTCCTGCGCAGGAGGAGGGAGAAGCAGCCAGTGGTGGCAAGCGGTATACGAGGTGCCCAGAGGCAGGCAGGCAGGCACTCCAGGCTGACTCTGGTGTTAACTGCTGTTACAGTGACAGCCAAGGTGCCTCCCTGGAGAGGGCAGGGCCCAGCTTTTCCCTCCGGTTTCCTGTGAGACCCCCACCCCTCATCGTGCCTCCATCACCACCCTTCACCCCCGGGCACTTGCTGGTTTGAGACTCTGAAGGAGCTGAAGTGGGTTAGGGCTCTGATTCAGCACTGGCTGGCGGGGCTGTGCCCACACCCCCTTCCCATCCCCCAGAGCTGCCCTGGGGGATCAGTGCCCAGCCTCCTGGAGGTCCCAGTACCTCCCTGACAAGCCCTCCCTGTGTTTCTTCCCCTGCTACAGATGGCGGTGGGACCCCCCGACTGTCCTGTGGGAGGGCCGCTGACCTTCCCTGGCCGGGGTTCTGGGGCTGGGGTTGGGGCAGCCCTGACTCCCCTCCCACCCGCCAAGATGCACCCCCCCACGATCCTGAGCACCGTCCCTCGGCAGATGTTCAGCGATGCAGGCAGCGGGGATGATGCCCTGGACGGGGACGATGACCTGGTAATCGACATCCCGGAGTGACCACCCGCTGCTGTGTGCCACGCCCCTGCCCGGCGCCCCTCCCCGTGCCAGCACACGCAAGCCCCCAGCTTCCTCAGAGATGTTTATTGGTGCCCAGTTGCCATGCTTTGGCCACTGACACAATCAGAAAAGGCGTAAACATGCACGAATGTCCTCCAGGAGGGTGGCAGGGGCCCTGCCTTCACATCCCGGCCCCATCTAGGGGACACTATTTAGATGAGTGGCCGGGAGCATCTGCCACCTCTTGAGGAGGCAGAGATTCCACAGTGGCCACCCCTTTAAAAGGGCAGCTGTACAGGGCTAGGTTTTTGTTGTTGTTTTTTGTTTTTTTTTTTAATGAAGATTCTGTATTAAAGAAGTGGCTCTGGGTTGTTTTTTTTTTTTTGTCCTTTTCTGTTTTGGAAACATCCTCCTCTGAACCTCCCCTAATCCGACCTCCTCCCTGTGGGGGGAGGGGACGGGCAGCGTGGAGAGGCAGGAGAGAGGAGCAGCGGAGGCTTGGGGAGGCTTGGGGCGGGGCTCTGACAGCACCCCCGCAGGTGTGCAGAGGATGGGTGGTTTGCATATTTGCAGGTAATAGCTAGTCAGGCAGGACGAAGTTTGCATATATGAATATAGATCTCCACAATCCCTCACAAGAAGACAGACCCACAGTCACGGAGACTCTCACAAAAATAAGACAGGTAGTGCGGGGCAGGGGCATCCCACCCCATGTAAACGTGCAACACACTCGTGCAAAGGTTGGGTACTGGACCCAGCCAGAAGGGTCGCTGGGCAGCTGTGGTCCACTCAGGCCGAAGGCAGAGCCCCAGCTGCTGGGGGCAGCTGGCTGGTCAGGGTGTGCCAGCGCTCCAGGGCTGCATCTGGCTGCTGCAGACAGTCGCTCCAGTGCTTTCGGGCCTCGCCACGGGCTCCTGGCCCCAGGGACACACCACCTGGGGGTCAGGCAGAGTCAGGACCCCTCTTCCTGCCAGTTGCCCTCCCCCAGCACCACGTAGCCAGGCTCCTCCCTCACCGATGAAGTCATTGGATTTGCCAATGTCATAGTCCCAGACTGTGACTTCCAGAGTCTTGGTGGCCAGAGTGGGGAGCTCCATCTCGTAGAAGAACTCCTGGGGAACAAGGCAAGCTACACCTTCCACGAAGCCCTCTCCCCTGCCTCCCCTAGCCCACCTGTATTTCTGGTCCCTGCCCTGCCCACCTCGTTAAATTCTGGGTTTAGGGTCTTCTTCTTCACACATGTCTTATGCTTGGATTTCTTATCCACATCCGGTCTTAGGTACCTAGGGGTGGAGGGAGAGGAGTCATGTGGTTAAGGATAGGACAGGCCCCAAAGGAACACGGGGCAGGGGCCAGGCTCCCTGGGGAGGGCAGAGCAGGCCTAGGGTGAAGGCTCACGTCTTAACGTAGGGGTCGGAGTAGCCATTGACATCCATGGCAGCCAGGTGGGCACAGCGAACGATGCCCACCAGCAGCCCCCGGCGCCGAGAGCTGTAGCTGAGGCTGAGCAGGATGCGGCCACGCTCTTCCAGCAGCCCAGGCCCCTGCTCCGCCTGCTCTAGCTGCAGCGGACAGATGCAGGGGGTCAGCCTGGGTCCTCCACCACCTCCCACCCAGATATGGTCTCTGTGAGGTGCCTCACCTCCTTCAGGTAACAAGAAATGCCCCTCAGTGCCGCTGACATGGAAGAAGGTGAAGCCAGCTGAGGGGGCAAAGAGAAGGTTCTGGAAACCTGGCCTCCCCAGGGCCCCTCCCCCTGGAGTCCCTGCAGCCCCCACACAGACCGGGACCTGATGCTCAAGGCAGATGTTAAAATGCTTCTTCTGTGAAGGCTTGAGGCGGCGGAGGGGCACTCGGATCTCCCCGATAAACTCATTGTGGCTCAGCTTGTCCTCGTCACAGACAGTGATCCTGGCGGGGAACTGCAGGGTCAGGGCCTCCTGGGGTCCTGAGCCCTGCTCCAATGTGGGAGAAAGATCCTCAGGCCCACCCGAGTTTTGCCCTAATACTCCCCACCTCGTCTGGAAAACAGGCTGGAACCTGAGACGGACGATTGGATTTGCCTGTTCCTCTGCCCCCCTTTCCAGCTGCCCAGGCTGTCCTTGGTCCATCAGGACCTACTCAGCCACTCCCAGGAGCCCTCACAAGTCATGGGGCCCACCCCACTCATTGCCTCCTCTCAGCGTCTGGGGCAGGGTCCGACTGAACACCACACGGTGGGTGTCGGTGGATACGGCCACAGATGCAGGCTGTAAGAGCTAGAAGGGCCTTGAAGAGCCTTGGGCAGCCAGATGGGAACCCCAGCTCTCCTCAGGCCCTCCTGTCCTGGCTCCTCTTGGAGCCAGCCTGCAGGGACACATGAGCCCAGCGATTAAAAAATGATTGCTTTGGCTGGGCGCAGTGGCTCACGCCTGTAATCCTAGCACTCTGGGAGGCCAAAGCAGGAGGATCCCTTGAGCTCAGGAGCTCGAGACCAGCCTGAGCAAGAGCAAAACCCTGTCTCTAATAAAAACGGAAAAATTAGCTGGGCACGGTGGCACATGTGCCTGTAGTCCAAGCTACCCAGGAGGCTGAGCAGGAGTTGGAGATTGCAGTGATCTATCATGATGCCACTGCACTCTCCCCGGGCGACAGAGCAAGACTGTCTCAAAAAAAGATTGCTTTGACTTCTGCCCATCCCCTTGTGCGGCCTCTGTGCTGCGTCTACTGTGACCTGCTGCTGTGCTGGGCAGCTGTGGCATGGAGGGTGTTCAAAGCCCAGCCCTGCCACTTTTAAGCCACCCGTGTGATCTTGGGCAAGTCAATCTCCCTAAACCTCAACTGCTATCTGTAAAAGGGAGATAATCAAGTGAAAGAAAATTTTACATTAATGCTTAGCCCAGGACTGGCCACTAGTGAGCACTGTCATTTTAGGACCCATTCCTTTACCTCTGGAACATGGGGCCAGCCTTTCTGGTGCTGTCTCCAGCCTCCCCCAGCCTACCTACGCACCCAGCACCAAGGTGAGCTCTAAAGCAGCTCTGATCATGCCCCTTCCCTGATGCAAACCCCTTCTGTGGCTCCCTATTGCCCAACAACAAAGAAGGAGGTCTCTTCCAGCCCGGGCTTTGCTGCCCTCCACTGCCCTTGAGAGAACACTCTTCCCAAGTCTCCATCTCCTGGGATGATGGAGTGAGTTCCCTGTCCCTGAAGACTTCACTCCCTAGAGATTTTAGGGGAACTCAGGGAACAGAAGGGGCAGACCTAAGCTGCATAGGTCTGACTTCAGCCAGGGCTCTGAGAAAGAGTCTCAGTGACCAGGGATTGTTTTCAGGAGGAGGCAGAGCTTGGACGGGGGCTCACATGAGTGGATTTAGGCTGGCAGAGAGGAAACAGAGGGTGCTTTCCAGGTGGAAGAAACACAACAGGCAAAGTTCCAGTTATGAAAGCAGCCAGTCGGAAGAAGGTGGTCCTCCTCAAGGAGCAGCAGGAGAAGCTTTGGGGGCAGCAATGCCAGGGAAATACTTTGGCCTGCTGCTGGAGGGGTTGGGGAGCCACTGATTATTCTTGAGCTTCAGAGAGGTAGGGTCTTAATGGGACATAGAGAGATCAATCAGCCAAAGAAGGTTACGATGACACCTTCATGCAGCACCCCTGGCTGGGGCAGGAGGTGTGAGCTGTCCCAGAGGAGGTGCTAGGCTGCAGTCCTTGGTATCGGGGAGGATGAGCCCTCACCTGAGCACCTTGTGGGTGATGTCATCATCCGTGATTCCACTATACATCAGGTCTTCATTCCACACGGGATTCAGCGTGTTCCTCTGAGTCTTCGTTTTTAGCTTATTGGCCTGGGGTGTGGGGACGAAGCATTCTGAACACATGTCCCCTGACCCACAAAGGCTGAAGGCAGAGGCTGGGGAAATCTAGGACAGACCCCCCGAGCTGGGCCAGGCTGGGGAGAGAGGAGGCTGTTACCTTGCAGGCTCCAGGCAGCAGGTGCAGCTTGACATAGGGGTCTGCAAGGCCATTGAAGTCCATGGGCTTGAGACCCTGGAGAGGAGGGTGGGGAAGAGGGCTGTGGGTTCCCATTCTCCCTCCCTCCCTCCACAGAGCCGGCCCCTGAGCTGTGCGGAGCCCAGAAGGAGGGTGCTGGGGGGGGAGGAAAGGAGCAGGTGTTTGGCCTGGGGAAGGGAGGGAAGGATGGAAAGCCACCACCCCTCCTGGGCTGGGAGGCAAACAGGGCCAGGGCTTGGGAGGCTGGGAGCGCCCACCTTGGCCCTGAGGATGCTACAGTGCAGCGTGCAGGAGGCCTGGTCGTAGAGAAGGTCAAACTCCAGCGTGCCCAGGGCAGCTGGGGAGAGGGGAAAAGTAGCATGAGTCAGTGTGGGAAGGCAGGTGTGTATGAGACCGGCGGGAGGCACCGGATGTGTGTCTCCATCTCCATCAGCCCGAGAGTGTGTGTGCAAGAGGCTGAGTGGGCATGTGCATGTGTGCGTGTCTGGGTCCGTGCCTTGGCCACAACTGGGGTTGTGTGGGTGGTGGAGTGTCTCAGCAGAAATATTGAACGTTGAGCCTTGCTGAAGCTGTAATCTCCACACTGACTGCAGCTGTGACAGCAGTCCCCGCTGCCCCCCCACAACGCACACCCAGCAGAGCTTGTCCCCTCCCCACAAGCCTGGAGGCCCCTTCACACCCCCCAGACTCACTGGTATCATCCGAGTCATAGCTGTCCACTTCAGCTCCGTCCTCAGGCGTGGTGGCCCCAAGGAGGGCTGCAGGAGGGGCCAGAGCCAGGGGGGCCAGACGAGCAGGGGCCTCCCCGCAGCCGCCTCCACCCCCTTCGGGTCCTGGTCCCCGACGGGGGAAGTAGTCAGAGATCTGGCGGATGGGCCGGATGGGCCCGGGGCACACATTGATGGCCATGTGCTCCTGGATGCTGATGGTCATGCGGTCGCCCCTGCGGCCCCTCATGCAGCACCCCTGGCTGGGGGAGGGGGTGTGAGCGAGCCTGAGCCAGGGCTGACTCCTCGTACCTACCATTGGTGGCTGAGGGCCCAGCAGCAACCTCCTCGGTCTGTGGGGCCCTCACTGGTCTCCCTTCCTAGGTGTCGAGGGACAGAGTGGCCTGTGCCAGTGGTGCAGGCTGGAGGCCTGGCCCTCCAGACCCCAGGCCTTGCTCCACAGGGGCAGGGCTGCCAGCCCACTCCCCGAAGACAGCCCCCCTTGCCCACCTACCTCTAGGTTGTCCCTCTGTCATCTTCTTCCTCTCATCCTGGGCTCCCATCTGCCCCTGAGCCTTGCCTATTCCCAACATCCCCATAGGTCCCCGCCTGTCTCTCTGAGGCTCCTTCCATCCTTTGCACCAGCCGCTGGTCTAGTCAGGTTATCAACC